TTTGAATTTAATTTTCTATATACTTCTTGTCCTTCCCTGGCAATATTAATGTAAGCTCTCTTAGGGGAGGAGTTATTTGAATTTTCTTTTTTATCTTCATGTCCCCAGGGCCTAGCAGTGTGCCAGATACAAAGTAGGTATTTAGTAAGTATTTGTTGAATTGAATTGAATTTTTTTCTTTTTAAAATACTAATTCTTCATTGATATTCTTGTTTGTTTCTCTCCATAAATTCTAATCTAATCTCTCACCATAGCATGTAGTGGTCTCTGAGTTTATGACTATACCAATGGAGTTTAAATTCTGCCAGTTCTACTAACCTGGAAAAACCTTGAGTGTGGTCCTGATGATAAATTTTCCCTGCCGTCTGAGGACCAACCTCAGTGTGGAGTGTGGAGAAGTTCATTAGCAGCTGTTTAGTTAAGAGGTGATTAATTCCATGTCAGAAGAAAGCCATGAAACCCAGAAAAATTAGAAAATGATCTTTAGTCTTGAATAGCCCTTTTCCATTTGTACAGTGATGGTAACAGAGGGGTGGGAAGTTGAGTAAAAGGTGCTAATACTGTAACCGTTGTTAAACCATCCAAATACATTAATTTAACTGTAAGTATTTTACAGATGAGATCTTTGTCTATTGCCTCCTAAATCCATATATTTCTGGAGTAACTGAATCACATCCTTTGCCTTTTTGTTTTGTTAAAAAAATTTATTTTTTCTCAATTACATGTAAAAACAATTTTTAACATTCATTTAAAAAATTTTGGGTTCCAAATTCTCTTCCTCCTCCTTGAAAAGGCAAGCAATTTAATATGTATAGATTATACATGTGTAATCATGCGAAACATATTTCCATATTAGTCATATTGTGAAAGAAAACACAGACAAAATAAGAAAAATAAAGAAAAATTTAAGAAGTACGCTTTAATCTGCATTGATTCCATTACTTCTTTCACTGGAGGTGGATAGCATTTTTCATCATAAGCCCTTTGGAATTGTCTCCGAACATTGCATTGCTGAGAACTAAGTCATTCACAGTTGATCTTTGTACAATATTGCTTTTATTGTGTACAATGTTCTCCTGGTTCTGCGCACTTCACTTTGTATCAATTCATATAAGACTTCCCAGGTGTTTCTGAAAGCATCCTGCTTGTCATTTCTTATAGCACAATAGTATTCCATCACAATCATATGCCACAACTTATTCAGTCATTCCTCAGTTGATGGGCATCCCCTTAGTTTCCTGTTTTTGTACATGTAGTTCCTTTTTCCTTTTTTATGATCTCCTTGGGATGCCAACCTAGTAGTGGTATTGCTGGGTCAAAGGGTATGCATGGTTTTATTGCCCTCTGGGCATAGTTCCAAATTGATCTCCAGAATGGTTTAATCAGTTCACAACTCCACCAGCAGTACATTGGTGACTCAGTTTTCCCATCCCCTCCAATATTTGTCATTTTCCTCTTCTGTCATATTGGCCATGATAGGTGTGAAGTGGTACCTCAGACTTCTTTGATTTTTTATTATTAGTAAAGTTGAGTGCTTTTTTAAATTTATAATTTGCGTTTCCTCTTGTAAACTATAATAAGCAAGTAATTAACTTATTCAGTCTACCATTTGTGCATTTGGATGATCTTGCCTTTGAATATTTTTGTCAATTTCTTTAAAATTTTAGACATTAAGTTGGTTGTTATTTTATCTATTTTCTGTTATGTTTGCTATAAACATTTCCCATTTTTGAGTCATATATATAATAGATTTGTTAGAAACTTTTCATTGTTATAAAATTGAACATCCCTATCTTGTTTCCAATAATTTATTCACTTTTGTATAGAAATTTATTTCCCTTTTAGAGTTGGGATAAACATATTATCCTTTTTTCTTCCATCTTTTTAACATATTTTTATAGTTTTTATGCTTGCATATAATCCAACTGAAGTTAATGTAGTACGTGATGTTAGCTGTGGTTGTGAGGATTTTTGTTGTTGTTTTTTGACATATTGCTAACCAGTTTTCCCAACTGTAATTATTAAATGATTCAGACTTGTTCACCTGAAGATTATCTCTTTCCTTCACTTTTCCTCTCTTCTGCCATCTTACTCATTCCTTTTTTTTTTCTTCTTTCAAAATACTTAACTTTGATACCTAAGTTTGACCCAAAGTCTCTGTGCTTTTCTGGTTCTATAAATCAAAATCTTTTTTAAGGTTGACCCTTCCCTCTATAAATTTCACAAATGCATGTAGCTTTAAAAATTGTTTCCTTTCATTTTTTAAGAATATTTCATTAGGGGCAGCTAGGTGGCGCAGTAGATAGAGCACCAGCCCTGAAGTCAGAGAACTTGAGTTCAAATCTGGACTCACACCAAACACTTGACACTTACTAGCTGTGTGACACCCTGGGCAAGTCACTTAACTCCAATTGCCTTGAGAGAGAGAGAGAGAGAGAGAGAGAGAGAGAGAGAGAGAGAGAGAATATATAAGAATATTTTATTGATGCTTTAAAAAGAATATTGGCTTATTTCCCCATAATCTTTCCCCCTGAAATATGACCAGTCCTCTTTTTAAAAAAAAAAAAGTATAATTAAATCAAACCAATATATTGGCCATATCTGATAACATATGCCTCATTCTGCAGTTTGTCAGTTACCACCTCTCTGTGGAAAGAAGATATATGAAGATATTTTATTGCCTTGATTGGAGTTCTGATGTATTTTAAAATTATTTTTTCTCTGTTATATTGATCATGGTGCAAATTATTCTCTCTTTTCTGTTTACATTATTATGTATCAGTTCAAACCAAGTTTCTGTGAATTCTTTTTATCCTTCATTCCTTATGGTGCATTACATTCATATAACACAATTTGTTCCACCATCTCCCAACTGATGGATGATCACTTTGTTCCCAGTTTTTTGCACTCACAAAAAATGCTGCTCTAAATATTTTTATAAATATGGTACCATTCACTCTATTTAGGCATTTACCCACTTAGGATGTGTTCCTAGCCGTGGTTCAAAAGCTTTGTCACAGATTAGTGACATCTCATTTCCTCATTTCCCACTTGACCCCCTTTTAGATTTCTTTGGCTTCTCCACTGTGCCTACCAGGTACCTGCTTTTCAGCTTTCTTTTTTGTACTGTCTTCCCCCATTAGACTGTAAACACCTTGAGGACAGAGGCTGTCTTTCTTTTTCATAGCACAATTTTTGTTGTTGTTGTTGTTGAATTGTTTCAGTCATGTCTGACTCTTTGTGACCCCATTTTGGATTTTCCTGGAAAAATACTGGAATGGTTTGCCATTTCTTTCTCCAGCTCATTTTACAAATGACAGAAAACTGAGGCAAACAGGGTTAAGTTACTTGCTTAGGGTCATATAGCTAGTAAGTGTCTGAAGCTTTATTTGAACTCTGCTCTTCCTGACTCCAGGCCTAGTGCTCTATCCACTGCGCCATCTAGCTGCCCAAACTCGTAGGACAATGCGTGGTACTTAGTAAGCAGTTAATGTTTATTGACTCGTGATTAGTGTCTAACGATTTTTCTAGAATAATTCCAAATTATTTTTCAGACTAATTCATAGCTCTATCAACAGAATTAGAGTGCTTGTCTTCACATTGTCCTTCAAGCAATTACTATTTAGTTTTTTTTTCATCTTGGCCAATCTGATAGATATGAAGTACCTAATATATTATTATTAATGATTCAGAACATTGTTTCATATCATTGTTGTTAATTTACATTTCTTCTTTTGAAAACTGCCTGTTCTTATGCTTTAACTACTTGGGGAACCACCTTCATTCTCCAAAAAGAATGCTTATCTTTGCTGAGAAATTGATTTTAGATGAAGTCTAAACATTAAACATTAGGCATATCACATTTCTACTTCTGTCATTTTTTTATTGTAGAGAAATTTTGTACAATTAGAATTGGAGTTTTTTATATATATGCTTCTTTATTGTTTGTGAAATCATTTCCTTGTCATTTGAGTCTTAAAGTTCAACAATAATGTGTCTAGATGAATTAAATTTAGAGTTAACATCTTCTGATACCATATGAGTTTTAGATTTAGAATTGGAAGGGACCTTATAGTTCATATATTTCAGCTCCCTCATTTTACAGTTGAGGAAACTAAGGAAGGCCAAGAAAATTTAACTGACTTGCCTGAGATCATGACTTATAAATGGCAAATCCATGATCCAACCCAAGTTTTCTGACTCTAAATCTACTACATCATACTTCTGCCCAATCTATCCCTTATTTTCAATATTTATGGTAAATTTTCTTGTGTAGTTTAATGTAACGTGGTGGTCAGATTATCTTCTTATACACAGTCTTTGTGAATCTTGACACTTCTTAAGTTTTTCACACTTTCCTATGACTATTATCTACATTGATCTAAAAACTTTAAAAAAATTTCTGAAACATTTATTTTTTATTTTCCTCAGTTCCTTGTGCTATTATTTTAATGTTTAAAGATTTTTTTTTTTTTAGGCAATTGCTGTTAATTGACTTGCCTAGGGTCACACAGCTAGTAGGTGTCAAGTGTTTGGTCTGAGGTCAAATTTGAACTCAGGTCCTCCTGACATCAGGGCCGGTGCTCTATCCACTGTGCCACCTAGCTGCCCCTATTTTAATGTTTAATAAAATGTTCCATCTGTCACCAAATCTGTCACCAAATATAGTTTTTATTATGTTATCAATGGATTTTGTCAGACTGTTGAGCTTCATCATCATGGATCTTTTCCAGAGTATCTTTAGTTTCATCTTTATTTTGAAATCTGATTTTTCTAATTATATTTAGTAACACCATATATTTATTATCCATTTTATTGTATCTTGAGAAATTTCTAGCTTTGTTGAAGGGATTCTTGTTGGTGATCTTTTGTTATCTTTTCTTCTGAGGGTTTCTGGTAGTTTTGCAGCGGTCTTGGGTCTAGATCTCAATAAAAAAAAGACCTTGGCATATTTCATATTTGTGCCTTTGACCTCCTGTTGTTATCTCTATGCCTTTTAGCTGCCAGAGGAAGACTTGGACGTGATATTCTCAAACATTAATGATATTATCAAGGTCAATAGCCGTTTCCTCAAAGGCCTAGAAGAAGCAAACTCTGAAGAGGAACAGCTATTCTTACTTGGTAAGTAGACAAACGCTCAGCAGAATGTCACCAAGTCAACTGGCTTGAACACCTGGCCACAGGTGAAATTTAGCTACTTATTCAACACATGTTTATGAAGGGCTTTCTACATATAAAGCGCTATGGGAGAAACGTAAAATTCAAAGTAGTGATGGAGTATGTGACAGGTTCTACACCTCTACCAAATTACTCCCTATATGGGTGGATATGGAAATCATGGGCTTAGAGAAAAGTCTAGCCTAAAAGCCAGTTCTTAAGATTGCCTCCAGGTCCCTAGTAACTCGACCAACTCAAGACCTATTTTTAAATACTCCTAGCAAAATATAGTGACGCTCTATCATCTCAGCACAGCTAGGTCAGTGGGCATTAAAAGAGAGTAGACTATCTTATATTATAAAGAATAATTTACTAACAACATGAAATGAGCCACCTTGAATCCCTGATGTTAGAGGTGTTGTCAAGTGAAATCCTCCACTAGTATAACTGGACTTTGGAAGTATCTCCCAGCTTTGAGATTCTGTGATTTTCTAATTCAATTCTGATTCTTCATTTCCTTTTTCCTGTTTCCATGCAGCCTCCTGCCCCTCTTTTTATAACAATATTAATTCAGAGAATTGTAGGTACTTAATAAATGCTTGTTACCTTGACTTGTTATTAACAGCAACAGTAATAATAATAACTTACATTTTATAGAGTCTGTTACAAAGTATACTACATTCATTATCACATTTGATCTTATTAAATGGTATTATTACCACTATGAAGTAGGTATGAGCAAGTTTTTTCCTTTCTATTTTTCAGATGAGGAAAAAACGCTCAGAAAAATTAAGTCTTGCCCACGGGTTCATAACTAGCCAATCACACTCTGACTCCCAATTCGATGTTCTTTCCACTGCCAAGTAGTTAGAGTACAGTTTATTTTATGTTAATTTCAATTGTCTCAATAATGACATTTGGGAGACATTCTAGTCTCATTGGCAATACACTTACAAAAATCATGTTGGGTGGAGTTACTTCTGTAGCTGGATCATTGCATCCATTTCACCTTATTATTCTGTACTGGATGATCCCACATATATGTGCTCTCCCTAAAATATAGTGAATACCATATTTTTACTAATAAAAATATATCTTTATTAAACTAGTAGCATGAATTAGATAACTAATCACTATTAGACATTGTTTAATGTAGAGTTATAATAAAAATATGATTGAAATGAAAAATGAATGTCAGGGAAAAGGTTAGCATTATTAATAATTCAGTGTATCTCTGATCTCATCAATGTGAATATTATGTCAAACCATGCAGATTATAATCCATCTGTGCCTTCTCATCCTGTAAGATTCTTGTTGGCATCCTTTCCATAATAGTCTATTATGATCTGCACCAGCTGTCTTTCTCTCACTCTTTTAACATGTCATGGGTACTAGTATAGTACTTGGACTATTCATCTCTTTTCACATAACCAGCTGGTCTTCTTTTCTAGCTATACATTTCCAAGATGATGTCATACCACCGCATTTACAGATATTATTCAGTAAATACCTATTAAATGCCCACTATGTGTAAATCAATGTGGCATTAGCAGGGAGCTAGAAAGTTCTGGGTTCAAGTCTTGCCTCTGATTTATGACTCATATTGACTGTGTGATGCTGGTCAAGTCAATTCTCAATGTTCTAGGCAACTCAAGAGTGTAAATTACTGTGAAAGTATAGATCTGTGTTGTAGAGGGAGTTTCCTCAATCCAGGGGTTGCCTTTATTAATGAAATCACAAATCCGGTTCCAATTCCCCATCCCTGTGTGCAAGGCACCATGCTAGACAACGGGGATACAAAGACCAAACAAAGTCCTTGCTTTCAGAGGACTTACATTCTCCTGGGGTCACTTAATAGGTACACAGATATGTTAAATAAATTTTGCATTTACTTAATAGAAAGTAATTTCAAAATGGAAGGAGAACTAGTAACTAGGAGGAAGGGGAAGGGCCTTATGTAGCTATATCGTGCCTGATCTATACTCTAGAGGAAGCTAGGAATTCCTCATGGTAGAGTTGAGGAGGGAGAGCATAAGGAATGTGAAGGACCGTTTTATGCAAAGGCATGAAGGCAGAAGATGGAATGTTGTATATAGGAAACAGTTAACAAGCCAATTTGAAGTGGAGAGTGTATAGGATAGAGAACGCTATGAAATAAGAATAGAAACTTATGTAAGAACCAGATAGTGATGTTTTAAATGCCAGAGTGAGAACTTGTATTTTATTCTAGAGGCAGTAGGGAGCCACTGGAGATTTTTGAATAGGGAATACCATGGTCAAATCTGTGTCTTGGTGCTATCAATTTAATGGCTATATGAGAGAAAGATTGTTGAGAGGGGAGACTGAAGGCAGGGAGACCAATTAAGAAACTGTTGCAAATAGTACAGACAAGAGGTGATGAGGGCTGCATGAGTTGGGAGAAAGAGATAAATGTAAAGAGTTGTTGTAGGGGTGTGATCAACAAGTATTGGCAACTGAATGGCCAGCTGCTGGCACAGGACCACTCAGCATGGCATGTCCACATCAGAGAAGGTGCTGTGCTGTATGAGCAAAGCAGAATCGAAATAGCTCAGAAGAAGTACAAGATGCGCAGATGTAGAGAATCCACTCCAAATATTCACATAGACTATTTGTGCCTGACCTATGGTGGAACATTCCGAGCTCATATTGGTCTGATCAGCCACAGTCAGACACACTGAAACTTGACTGTAGCATAGTGATGTCATTTTGGTCCTCTTCGAGAATGAAGGACAACAACCAAAAAAATTGGTAACTGATTGAATATAGGCATTGCATGAAACAAAGAGTCAAGGATGACTCTAAGTTACAAAGTTTGGTAATTAAAAGGTTAGTAGTCCCAACAAAGAAGTAGGGAAAGTACAAGTAGGGATGGGAGGCAATATAATTAGTTCAATTTTAGATGACATAATTTGTAATTTGCTAGAGGTTGCTTTTGTTCATCACGTTATTTCTCCATTGCCTTTAGGTCAAATGCATTTTAAAATTCATTGAAATTCATGGTTATATAGCATTATCAGGACAATAGTTATGTTATAAATGATAAATCTTTTTTGTTTTATTTTGTTTGTCAGGGAGAGTCCTGTCATTGAAAATACTGTGTAGTTTCCCAAATGTGATGTAATCCATTCACTTTCTTCTGTTCAGTTCTGGACCTAGCTCTTTGTCTACCTATAATGCCTGTTCAAGATGTATGTACTAATGATCAATTAAAACCTGCCTGTCCAATTGCATGTTTCAGTTTGGACACTAGACATTCTTCATCCATTTGGTTTTTCTTATGTGGATTGTTAGGCTCTTTCATATCATCATGAATCTTGTTAAGGAAACCCTTTAGCACTCTGAGGTTTGATATAACCAACAAAGTACAAATGGTAAACAAAAGGATATAGAAATCTCACCATCTATAGGTAATTCATTTTCATTTGGATTCTGTGCAGAACATCTTCCATGGTATAGGTGAACACTTCCATTGAATATACAACTTCCCCCCCTACAACAACTTTATTTGTGTGAAAAGTGTTTTGTAATTCTGTTCATATAGTTCCTGGGTTTGTCTTAGCAGGTAGACTCCCAAGTATTTTGGATTGTCTACAGTTCTTTTAAATGGAATTTCTCTTTCTATCTCTTTCAACTAAACTTTGTTGGTAATATATAGAAATGCTGATGGTTTATGTGGATTTATTTTATATCCTGAAACTTTGCTGAAATTGTTATTTATTTACACTAGTTTTTTAGTTGATTCTCTAGGATTCTCTAAGTATACCATTGATCAATCTTCTTAAGTTTTTAAAGTTTTTTCTTTATTTTGTCTTTCATTAGTCAGGAGGGCTTGGTTTGGTCATTTTGGTTAAGTCAAATAGCATTTATTAATCACCCACTATGTGCCAGGAGCTGTGCTAAGCTCTGGGGATACAAAGAAAAAAAAAACAAAACAAACAAACAAAAAAACCAGTACCTGCTCTCTAAGAGCTCAGTCTAATGGGAGAGATTACATGCAAACAATTATGTCCTCTATACAGTATGCCTTCCTGATGTTTGTTGTTGCCATTTATCTTTCTTCATATATCAACTCAGTGTGTATTTTTTTTGTGAAGTAGGCATTATCTCTTTTTGAGCAGTGACTTACTTTGTTTTTTTTCCTATAAATTTTAAGCATTTATTTTCTCTCCCTTCTTCCTCCCCACACCCATCCCATTGGAAAAGAAAAGAAAAACAAAACCCTTATAACCAATATTTATGGTAAAGCAAAACAAATTTCCAAAACAAATTGGCCATATTAAAAAAAAAAGTCTCATTCTGCATCTTGAGTACATCAAGGGATAGGTAGCATGTTTCATCATTGGTCCCTGAATTGTGTTTGTCAATGTATAAATCAGGGCTTTCAGGTCTTTCAAAGTTGTTTGTCAGTTATTATATAAATTGTCATTGTGCCTTTGCTCACTTCATTCTATATCATTTGCACTCCCCAGTTGATAAGTAGATGAAGGATATGAATAACCAGGTTTCTAAGGAAGAAAGTCAAGCTATCAATAGCTCCATGAGAAAAAAAAAAAGTGTTTCAAGTCATTTAATAATCAGGAAAATGCAAGTTAAAAAAACTGAGACTCCACCTCACATTCATCAGATTGGCAGTGATGACAAAATGGAAAATGACAAATAGCAGGAGGAGCTGTGGGAAAACAAACACATTAATGCTCTGATGGTAGAGTTATGAACTGTTCCAGCCATTCTCCAGAGCCGTTTGGAACTATGCCCAGAAAGTGACTCAACTGAGCCTGCTCTTTGACCCACTGAAACTAGGCTTATATTTCAGAGACAGAAAAAAGAAAAAAAGGACCCATGCGTACAAAAAATATTTATGACAATTTTTTGTAGTAGCAAAGTCCTAGAAACTGAGACACTGCCCATCAATTAAGGAATATCTGAACAAATTATAGGTTATG